TTAAGGACTATTTTACTCCCAGTTAGCCAACTAGGAAGTTAACGTCTATATTAATTAATTAGTCATTGTGTAGGAAGGAAAACATGTTAGAATGTTTAGAAAAAACTAACTGGAAGGTTGTAAATTGAATTTTTTAATGACTTTCTTGTGAAAACTTTGCAAGATACGTTTTTAAAGAGACTTAGGAGGTGGAAGGCCCTTGGGATTGTATTCTGAACCCTTACTCCATCTCTTACTGATGGAGCCAGGCTGCTGTCTCTAGAACTCAGGGCATCTTTAGGAACAGCAGTGATTTATATTTTAGTGGTTTAGTATATTGCTATCAATTTGTTTTATTGTTAATCATCTTACTTTCTTTTGAGGGTGGATCTAGGAGAAAATAATTTAGCTACATTTCAGTTAAAGGGAGTTATTTTTTCTTAAATTTGTTCCAAACCATGGGTGCAATTTTGTGGAGATGTCATCTTCCTTGATTACATACAGCTCTGACTATTCTGAGAGTTTGTGCATGTACAGTGGGCTAATTGGTACTTCATATACTGTTTCACAGAGCTCCTTGATTGTTTCAGGTATGTACGCCTTGTCACCTCAGAAAATAGTTTAAGCTCCTTACTGTAAGAAACATGTCTCCCTGCCACCCTCTTTTTTTTCTGCACACGTATGTCCTCCTCATCCCTCTGCGCCTGCAGCCCTGACACATATTGTAGTGGATTTTAATTACACTAAGTGAGTCAAACTGGAATTCCAAGAGGAATTGACTTTCTGGCCCTTACTCTTCCAAGTGTTCTGTTTTCTCCCTGCTAACTTGCAAAATAAAGGGGTTTTTTGTTTGTTTGATTTTTTTTTTTTTTTGCTATGATGTTCATTGTACCAAAACAGAGACAAAGTCTGTCTCCAAAGGAACTATATGTTAATATTTTTTTGGTAGTAGTCACAATTTATATCATCTTCCAGTAGGATCCAGGTAGATGATTGGAAGGAAGGGAGGAAGGAAAGAGAAAGAAAGAAAAGGAAAAAAAGAGGGAACACCCTGTCCCTCCAATCTCAGTTTGGGCTTAGATTTTCAAAATTATTAAGCAAGTGCTGCTTTTTCATTATTTTGTTTTGTGGTACACTGGCCATGTCACTACAAGACAAGAAAATCATACATCTTATAAATGTTGAAGGACTTCCCAGGTGCAGTTAGTAAACTGAACAAAATTAGTGAGCTACTAGAGGGAAATTTTCAGACCTGAAGTTTCTTTTATGTACACACAGTGCCTTCTGAATTACATGTTAAAACAAAAGCCAGGGCTGTCGTAAGGAAGGTTAGAAAGGAGGCAACAGTGAGGCACAAGTGCCAGAGGAGCTGAAAGGTCTGTGGCCTGGCTGGGAGAAGCAGCAATTGACTTCCAGTTACCCCAGCTCCCTGTTCCCACGCGAGGTCCACCTTCCTTTCTATGCATTTGTGGTGTTTGCTTTGAAGTTGGTTGCACGTGGATCGCATCTCAGCCTCATACCAGGTTACCTGGGTGACTCTCAGGTGCAAAGATGCTAAGTAACTCCCTCAGTCTCCTGTCCAAACAGGAGCATTGCCCATTGCAAGTCATAGTGAAGGTGAGAAATGGTTGAGAAAATGCCAACGTGTATTATGACTATATTTAGAAGCCACCATTTACTGTATATTCCTGATCCCTAAGCCTCCCCCACCAACCTCCAACCCCACCATCCTAGCACAGGGATGTAGCAGGTGCTCTGAGCATTTTCTGCTGTGACACAATGCATGTTACCTTGGGAAAAGCCACATCCACCCCATGTGGAATTCTGTACTCATAGGTCTGTTCCACTGTGTCCAGATGGTACACTGTCCTCAGTGTGACTTATCATGTGGCTGTCTTGTGAGCTTACTCAGGGCGGGAACTCCTTCTGTTCCACCTGTATGCTCTGGACGTTAGGCCCTCCATCAGGGTTCCCTAAATGAATTAGTTCTTGCCCCAGAACCCAACCTTTTGGGGCTTTAAAAATAGCAACACTGACTCTTAAATTTTTCCTTGGCTTCTTTAGTCTGCACATTTAGAAAGCTAAAATGTATTGAATGCCAAAAGGCCCTTGGGCCTCAGATTGAAATACTTGCTGCTGTGGCTAAGAGCTTTGAAAATGTGTGCTGCTGTGTAAGCTGTGAAGTCTCACGCTTGTTCATGTTTAAATTGGTGGTTGTAGGTGCACATCTGTAGTTCTACATGGTAGACTGTAGTTTCAGGAAATATGGTGATGTAGTTTGGAGCTTGACAGGCTGCAACTTGGTGGACTTTCACACAACTCTGGGACTGGTTTCAGAGCTTCTCACTGCTGGACTGGCTTCTCAGTGGTGAAAAGCCAGGCTGTAATAACTAGTGCAGGTCATCCCTCCGGAATATTTATTACAGTACGGCAGCAGTTGTGACACAGGCGTGTCAGCATCCCAGCAGGGTAGGACCCTATGGGCTTGTCCACCACCTTTGAACTTTGCACTGTGGCTTCCTAAGCTACCTGGGATGGAAATCAGATGAAAAAATGGTCAAATCACCTGAGAGATATTTTTCTCTTTTATTTTATATTCTTTGTCCCCCTCACCCCGACCCCCTCCTATACTTCATAATTTTGTATTTCCACTTGTCTTTTGGAATTTTTTCCCTTAATTTTACCTTTTATAACTCTCCTGGTCTTTTCAACTTTAATTTCTGAATATAAAGTATGAAGCCTGTACAAATATAACAAAGATAATGTGCACAAAATTTGTTTTCTTTTTGGTGGGGGGAGGTCTTTTTCTTTTTAGTACAAAGCAGGTGAATTTTCATACTTTATTGGTACAGTCACACCTGGAAGAAATGTTAACGGTGCCATAGTTTTAGCATGGTGGCTTCTTCATCGATAGGAAAGGGTCTTCCTAAAGCCATGTTGACTCAAGTGGGTCCCAGCTGTCCAGCAGAGCACAGTGCGGTGGAAGTGTGTCTGCGCAGACCACCAAGCCCTTGCTGGGCTGTTGTGAGCTGCCTGTTGCAGGGTCCTGCTGCTTTTCATGTAAAGAGCTCCTTCAGAGTAAGCACATGAAAACAAAGGTGGGCATGTGTCCATTTTATCTATATGAAGTTTGTTGTCATTAGTTTTTCATTTCTCAGGTCTTTGAACTGCACACATACATACACATAAAACCCTACTGCTCAGAGGTAGAGCACTTGCCTTACATGTCCAGGGTCCTGGGTTCCATCCCTAGCACCCCGGAATATAAACAAGAAAGCATAAGGGTTTTTTTTTTTTTTTTTTTTTAAGGCACACTGTTTCCCCTATAAGGGCTTTACTTAATGCTGCCTTATTCTGTATGATTCTGCAGATTGAGGAAATTGGAAATAGGCTCTCCCTTGTATATGTCACCATTAGGTACTGCCAAGCCACTTACCTCCTGCACAGGCTGCCACTTGTTCCTCAGGAGAGCCATGTTCTCCACGGCCAGCCCTGGGTTCTGGCAGCTTCACTCTGGGTTCTGCCCTTCTCTGGTGGGCAGTAGTAGAGCAGACGCTAGTTGCAGCAGGGAATCTTAATTCTTAGGCAGGCTGCACTGTGGTGATTTGATCTTTATCATTACATCCCTGGAGCCTGTAAGTGTTCCATATATTCTCTCTGTCTTCACATCACTGTGCTTCTGAGGACGGTCCACCTTGTGTGGCACCTGACAAAGTGACTGATGCTGTTCCCTCACCCCTGCAACTCCACTGGTGATACTTCTTGACAAGAAGCCACGGCACCTCTGGTGTCATTCTCAAGCCATCATTAGGGCAGACTTAAAACTTACCAATCCTTACAGTTCCTTAAAAAAAAAAAAAAGTGACAGATTGTAGTTGCTCCAGGCCCTGGTACCCTGGTGTCAGGTCAGACAAGGCACATGTGCATAACTCACCCCATCGTGGCACTTCATCCAGGTGTGCACTGTGCCTTGGGCAGCCCTGGTGAGAACGTGAGAACAGCCTGAATTATACATGGTGGAATTGCTGGGCATCCCCACCTCTGTGGCATGATGTCCAAAATTCAATCTGAGTTGGTACAAACACATTTCAAAGACTGTCTCTAAAGTCTCATGTATTAATTCTTTAGTGAGACTTTCTGAGGAAGTGGGTTGGTGTCTTTTGGAGTATTGGTTTATGTATGATTCTGTTCATACGTGTGAATATAATGGTCTCATACCTTTTAAGCATACTCTGTGAAAGCTGAAGTCTCTGGTTTATGTATTTATGGGGGTTACATAGAGTTAGAACTCAGAGCCTCACCTTTTGTCTAGGGGCCATGACCCTTGCCCTCTTTACTTCTAGTTTTAGATAGGGTCTCGCGCTTTTGTCTGGACCAGCCTTAGACTGTGATCCTTCTACCATTGCCTCATGTGTAGTTGGGATTGTAGGCATGCACTACTACACATACCCGGTTTATCTGTTGATAGGATTCATGCTAACTTTTTGCCTGGGCTGGCCTCAAACCAAGATCTTCTTGATCTCTCCTTCCTGAGTAGCTGGGATTACAGGTGTGAGCCAGTATGCTTGGCCCTCTTAGTTTATCAGGGGTTTGTGTGTGTGTGTGTGTGTGTGTGTGTGTGTGTGTGTGTGTGTATTTGGGATCAAACTCAGGGTCTCATGCATGCTAGGCAGTCGCTAAACCACTGAGCTACATCCCCAGTCCCACAGTTTATCTTTTTAAGGACAGTTGCTCGCACTTTATTTATTTATTTATCATCTCTTAACTATGACATCTCTTGAGAAATACTGCACATACTTGGTCAATTGATCGAATACTAGTTTTTGATAAAAAGTGAAATTGTAGCAGTGGGAAAGCCTTTAGAAACATTACCAGATTCCTTGTATTAAATGAGTAATTACAGGCACCATTTTAAATTCCAAAGGACTTGGAATAGTTTAAGCTAATACTTACATAATATGTAGCTATGTCACTATAGATGTATAGGTGTATTTTAATTAATTTATTATTTTTAATTACAGGAGCTCTTACCAAAGTGAAGGAGAGTAGGCGACACGTGGAAGAAGGGAAGATGGAGGTCCAGAAGGCCGATGGCATTCAAGATCGCTGTAACACTATTTCTTTTGCCACTTTGGCTGAAATTCACCACTTTCATCAAATTAGAGTGAGAGACTTTAAATCACAAATGCAGCATTTCTTACAACAACAAATAATATTTTTCCAAAAAGTGACCCAGAAGTTGGAAGAAGCTCTTCACAAATATGACAGTGTTTAATGACCGGACATTGGATCGTGGACAGTTCAAGGATGATTTCTCAGCAGAATAAAAACTGCTATCAAAGAGCTATTGCCAACTATCAGTGGTGGTACAAGGATAGTTTTGTGAAAACTATTCAGCTGAAACCCAGCTGAATATATAATTGTGTAGGAGAGAAACAGTTAATATGGTTATATAATAGCAACAGTACCACACATTGTAACTAAATTATACTATGTATACCTACACTACCATTGTAACTTTTGGAATAGTGATTATACGATTTGCCTTATTGCTTTTTGAAGTATGGGTCTTTTAATGCATACTTTGTAGACCTCAAAACCATGAAGGGTCTCAAAGAAGCTGGCTAGATAAAAGCCTGCTGTGGATGCCTTTTTATTCTCACTGATTGGGATTACCTAAATTCAGTCTGTTCTCTGTTTACAAACTCCAACTAGAGCAGCTATGCGACTTTGTGCCTTTAGACTCTGGTTTTTTCATTTCTGCCCCCCATCCCCCTTAAGTAAGCCACGGCTTTTCTGGTTGAAAGAATGAATGGCCAGTGCATATGATGACAAACTGATGAAAACCTCATATTGTCTGGGGGTGGTGGGGGTGGGCGGGATGGGAGGGTCAGCTGTCATCAGCCTGCACACCAAGTGTTGTCTCCTGACAAGATGCTGGGGAGTGCACAGGAGTGAGACATGTGCACGTCTTTGGATATGATGTCTGAGACCGTGCACTGTCTTCCCTTAGGTGGCTACAGTTGCGCCGCCTCTGCACACAAGTGTCATGAAAACTGGGTGTGAGGATTTCTACAAGCTGGTCTTAGAACATGGAAAGGGGGAGTCTGATCAATCAGGGGACACCGTACAGAAGCAGTGACAACACACTCAGTTTGAGTTCTTAGGAGAGTTTCTTTTTTTTTTAGCTTGAAGATTATCTTTTAATATTCAGTTTTTTTGTTTCTTATTTTGTTTTTAAATGGATCTACACTGTTAACTGATTGAGACTCCACTGTGATTCACTCGTTTACTTAATCAAAAACTTTTCAGGGATGTCTGTAAATTTCAGTGTTATACGTGAAGAAAAATGGTGTTGGTTGATCTAAGGAGGGACCAGAAATAATTTCTACTATTCCAATACTGAAGGAAAAAAATTGATTTATGCTGTGTTTAAAAAAGAAGTATTGATAAAGCCCCCCCCCCAGGACATTTAACCTTAAAAATGACTTTAAATATATTCTTTTATTAATATAAAGGAAATACAAATGGCTGATAAATACCAAAAAGATTCAAAAGCAGCTTAATTTAAAAAGCACAAAGAGATTCTGGCTTGAAATGCCAAATTCTCTGTTTTTGTGGTTGCTGAGCTAAACAATGTGATTCTTGAGTTTACAGATTTGAAAACTGTTACTGAAAGGTTAAGGTGTCTGCTGTCTTTCTGAAATCAAACTTACAGTGCCTCAGAAATCCCTGGGTAGTGAAACGTGGTGACCCGGAAGTAAAGAGGTCAGTTTGCAATTTTAATGAGTCACAGTGATTTCAGAGAAGGGTCAGTATGCAGAAAGTCATAAGACAAGGTTACTGGAATTCAACAGCACATTTACTCTCTAAAAAGTAATCTCATGTGGGGTGAATTTTCAAGATCAGATTATCATCATTTTGATCTTTGGTCAGAATTTTGTACCTTAGAATCCTTAGAGCCAGACTGAAAATCATGTGGCTTTCTCTCTACTATGGAAATGTGGAACTGTCACCAAGTTCTTTGTTCTAAAAAGTAACTTGTTGATTGCAAATTTTATAAATAAACCCATATAGATAGATAGATAGATAGATAGATACATACATACATAGATATTAAAATTACCACAGGAGTTTGGCAGTTATAATGATAGCATTTAAGTCTGAGTCTGTATTGGACAAATAACCTCAGTGCTTTTTCAAATGATTTGGAAGTCATATTTCTTTGCCTCTTTATTTGAATGGTGGTTTGGTTTTTTTTTAAGTAAAATCACTGAAGTTGTGCAGTGGTACTTGAGGTGTCTTGCGTGATTGTGGTTCAGCCAGGTAGACAGAACTTAAATTATCAAAAGATGAAAGCACAAGAAGTGTAAGTTCATGCTGCCCACTTCTAAGAGAACTTTCGTTCTTCACAGCTATGTAACATAATGCCAGTGATTCATAGGGGTTTACATTAATTCTGTGGATTTAATTTAGAACACCAGAGTTACTAGTGTCCGTGTTCATCTAAGATCTTTAGTCTCTAACGTTCTTGGTCCTATTGAAACATTTCAGTATACAAAGATACTGCAATGTTGACACCCAAGAGAAAAGCCATGATCACGTGTGTACCAATCATCGTGATTGGTGTGGTACAATTGTTCTAATAAACGGTCATCCTCTTCAAGCCATTATTTTTGTCTTTATTTCTAGATTTTTGTAGTTCTGATATGTGGTGTTTGTAACACAACAGCATGTGTGCGTGAGCCTGGTTTTGCTATTTTAATAACATAGTGTTTGTTTATGGGCCATAGCTTAGTGCAGTGAGACTGGTTCTATAGCCAGATATTGTCACCCCACTAGCTTTTCAGGCTGTTGTACAGTTCACACGAAGAAAGGAGAAACGTGAAACCACTGCACAATGGCTAGAATAGCATCATAATTGGAATTTTCTTGGGCTTCCCTGATACAGTTGTCTTCATAACTACAGCAGATTCTTAAGTGCTGAATTTAATTATTTCAAGTTTTGCTGCTGTTCATATCATTAAGGACTTGAAAAAAGGTTTTAGTCTGTCAATTCATGAGTGGAAAGTTTACGTATAAACCTTTAAATGTCATTCTTTACTAAACTCATTGTATAGTCATGATTTCCATTTCTGTTTTCTCAGAGTCAAATACCATATCTGAGTCGATATTATGGATTTAACATAAGCATTATCCAGTTCCTCATTTCCAACTTTATCTTTGGTTAACAGAATAAGCGAAACAGGGTATTATTTATTTATAGACTAGAAATGTTGAATATTGTTTTATTTCCTTTAAAATGTTATGATTAGTTCAGCTCAACCATGTTTGTTTTTCAAAAAATAAACAAAGGTTGCTTTATTTCTGAGCTTCAACGGAATGTTACAGTTATTTGTTTCTCCACTCATCAAGGAGGCATTTATTTTATGTGAGACTTACATAGAGAAAAGGAAGAGTATGTTCTCTGTCTTACGCTTTCTGTAGTTGCTGTGTAAATCATCTGAGAAATCAGCTAATGGGATTAATTTCAAACCCTGAACCATTCAAGTGGTCCCATTATTTGCTTATGCTAATAATATCTGTAATTAAGCATAGAGCTGCAAATTGTGAGATGATTTGAAATAGAAGCTACCCAGGACCTAACACATAATGGTGCTTAAGTACTTCACATACTGTCCCCACTGGGCACAAGGACCTGGTGGACCCCTTCATAGGCCAAAGTCCCATCTGGAATTAAGCTTGCCCTCTTTGTGGGACTTTGTAATCTCCCCTGATATTCCTAAAAGGTGTGCTAAGGGAGAAATGGTTGATGGCCCTCAAAACAAACCTCTAGGAAGATTCTTTTTTTGGAGGGGGGTAGAGTTGAGCTAGAGTCTTACCAGGTAGCCCAGACTGGCCTTGAACTTGCAGTCCTCCTGCCTCAGCCTCCAGAGTACTGGGATTACAGATGTGTACCACCACACTCAAAAATATTGAGGAAGGGTTTATTTCCAGTTTATAGAAATGTTAAGAGATCGGAGAGGTGGTGTCTTTTGCCCAAGTTCACACTAGATGATGGGGCTGAGATTCAAATGAGAATCTGACTTCTTTTTAAACTGGATTTCATTGAATATCATGTCTCTGCTTTTTAAAAATCTCTAAGCCTTCTCGGGTTTAAAGATAACACTTCTGGAAGGTACAAAAGGAACCTCTCAGGGTTGGGGGCATGGCTCAAGTGGTAGAGCATCTGCCTGGCAAGTGCAAGGCCCTGAGTTCAAATTCTAGTACTGCCAAAAAACAAACCCAAAAAGTTCCCGAAATCTGCTTTGCTCCCATTTCTGTGCTGCATTGTGTTGTTTCTTAAAGGGAAGGGCCAACTATAGTCTGACAGACAGGGAAGCTTGTCAGGTAGGACTTCGTAGTGTTATTTAACTCCCACCTCCAAGCAAAGGTAAGTGCATTTCAGCTGCCATAGGAATGACTTCAGTGAACCACAGATCAAATGTTTAATCCCAGTTGGTCAGAGTCTGGGTAGCTTGACAAATCCTACTGGGTTACAGGTAGGAGCACAGAGTTCCCGAGTGGTGAGCTCTTGTTAAGTCTGAGAAGTGTAGACCATGGGAGGATGCTGCTGGGCTTGGGGGGTTCTATTGGGTACAGAAACCCAGAGAAATGAGCAGTGGAAGCCAGGCCTGGCTTCCAGGTGGGCCTCTGAGGTGGGAGGAGTTAGTCTGGGACTGGCTATGGCTACAGCCTTTCCAGGGATCATAGGTTCTTCTAACTTAGTCCTGATTCCTGGATGCCCTAATCCTGTCATTCCTGTGGCAGATGTGAAGCTTCCAAAAACGCTGTGTTGGCTGCCTGTCTTAAAGGATGATCTCATTTCATTGAATGAACTTGTTCAGTAGTGTGCCAAGGGCAAGGCCAGTTGTCCCTATGAAGCTACCTTCAGGGAGTTTAGAAACACTCAAGATATGTGGCATTTTGTTGCTGCCAGCCTATCCATAAATGCTGTAAGTCTGAAGAGATCAGATGCAGCAGATTTTTCTCATGGTTCTTATTTTCAATCATTCCAGGAAGTGACTCAGGACCTCATAGTTGCTGAATTGTCGGGCTTCTTTGCAAGCTGACCCAGCACATCAGTGAGAAAGGAAGGCAGCACTTGCAGCCAGAGACCTGGGCCAGATCCTAATTTCCCAACTCCCTGTGCGACCTGGGGTACCTCACCAATCTCTGATTCTCAATTTCCTCAGTTGTAGGTGGGCCTACTTAGATTTTATGGCATTGCTGAGGGTAGCAAGCCAACCATCCGGTAAAATCTTTTGAGCATTTTGCAATATTCCCTCTAAGGAACAAAGGGAGGGAGTGATACCCATTTCAGAGTTAAGTACTTAATAAATTGAACCTTGGTGTGACCTTGGGCTGGCCAACCTCCCTGATCCAGTTTTCTCATTCACAATGGGATGCAGGATCCCCTTCATAGACCTGCTGTGAGAATTGAATGGTAAATGAAAAGCCCTGAGCCTAAGGCCTGACAGAATAGGACACAAATAGATCCCCTGTGATTAAATGAGAAGGGATGCAATAAGTATTTAAATAATGAGAACACTGCACACAGGTTCAGTCAGGCAGGAGTTCTGGCTCCAACCCAGTCATATTTTCTTTATCCCTTCATCCACTGACGACCACTATCCTGATTCTATGACTTGGCTATTGAGAATGTTACTGCAGTAAATACGGGTGTACAGGTATCTCTATCATGTGCTGACTTTGATTCCTTTGTGTATATGCCCAGCAGTGGTATAGCTGGATCATATGGTAGGTCTATTTTTAGTTTTTTGAGAAATCTCAAAAAACTGATTTTCTTA